GGAGGTTGCGGTGAGCCGAGATCGCGCCATTGCACTCCAGCCTGGGTAACAAGAGTGAAACTCTGTCTCAATAAAAAAAAAATAAAATAAATAAGTAAAATGAAACTACAGATTGAGTATCCCATATCCAAAATGGTTGCTACCAGAAGTGTTCTAAATTTCAAATCTTTTTAAGTTTGGAATATGTGCATATATATATATAATGAGATGTCTTGGGGATGGGACCCAAGTCTGAACATAAAATTCATTTATATTTCATATACACCTTAGCCTGGAGATAATTTTATACACTATTTTAAATAATTTTGTCGAAGAAACAAAGTTTTGACTGCTATTAGACTGCAATCCATCATATGAGGTCAGGTGTAGAATTTTCCACTGATGGTGTCACATCAACTCTCAAAAAGTTTTGGATTTTGGAGCATTTCAGATATCAGATTTTCAGACTAGGGATGCTGAACCTCTATTTAATTTTGCTTTGAGTGTGCCTGGAACACTGGGGAAATTTTGATTTTTAAGATTCATCTCAGGCCGGGCACAGTGGCTCACACCTGTAATCCCAGCACTTTGAAAGGCTGAGGTGGGCAGATAACGAGGTCAGGATTTTGAGACCAACCTGACCAACATGGTGAAACCCTGTCTCTATTAAAAATACAAAAATTAGCTGGGCATGGTAGTACGCACCTGTAATCCCATATACTCGGGAGGCTGAGGCAGGAGAATCACTTGAACCTGGGAGGCAGAGGTTATGGTGAGCCATGATTGTGCTATTGCACTCCAGCCTGGGCAACAAGAGCAAAACTCCATCTCAAATACATACATACAAACATAAAAATTTTTAAAAACAAATGGTCCTCCACAGACTAGTGGTAGATCAAACAAACAAGCAATTGTAGGGAGTACAAGGTGTTATTAGGGCAGGTGAAAGGGCTTCTAACCCAGACTTGGAAGGGCAAGGAAGGGTCACCAGGGAAGCAGTGTCACGTAGGGACCTGAAAGATGAGTAGGAACTCAGGCCGGGCACGGTGGCTCACGTCTATAATCCCAGAATTTTGGGAGGCCGAGGTGGGCGGATCACGAGGTCAAGAGATCGAGACCTTCCTGGTCAACGAGGAGAAACCCCGTCTCTACAAAAAATATAAAAATTAGCTGGGCATGGTGGTGCACGCCTATAGTCCCAGCTACTCGGGAGGCTGAGGCAGGAGAATTGCTTGAACCCAGAAGGCAGAGGTTGCGGTGAGCCGAGATCATACCATTGCACTCCAGTCTGGGTAACAATAGCAAAACTCTGCTCAAAATAAAAAAAAAAAAAAATAAGTAGGAACTCAAGAAAAGGCAGGGGAAGAGAATATTCCAGGTAGACGGCCTATCCAATTAGAATAATTAGGTTTGAGGCCAGGCACAGTGGCTCATGACTATAATCCCTTTGGGAAATCAAGGCAGGAGAATCACTTGAGCCTAGGAGTTCAAGACCAGCCTGGGCAACATAGTGAGACCCCATCTCTAAAAAAAAAAAAAAATTTTAAGGCCAAGTGCAGTGGCACACACCTGTAATCTCAGCGCTTTGGGAGGCCAAAAAAAAATAAAAATATTTAAACATATTTATATATATTTATAAAAATTAGCTGGGCATGGTGGTGGGCACCTGTAATGCCAGCTACTTGGGAGGCTGAGGCAGGAGAATTGCTTGAATCTGGAAGGCACAGGTTGCAATGAGCTGAGATTACAGATGTGTGCCACTGCACTTGGCCTTAAAATTTTTTTTTTTTCCAAGAGATGGGGTCTCACTATGTTGAGTACCATTGCCAGCTGAGTACCATTGCACTCCAGCCTGGGCAGCAAGAGCAAAACTCTGTCTCAAAAAAAAAAAAAAATACGTGTGTGTGTGTGTGTGTGTATAATTGTAATTAGCCAAGCAATGTGTCTCACACCTCTAGTTTCAGCTACTCAAGAGACTGAGGCAGAAGGATGGTTTGAGTCCAGGGGTTGATGCGGCAGTGAGCCATGATTGTTCCATTGCACTCCAGCCTGAGCACAGAGCCGGACCCCATCTCTAAGAAAACAGAAGTTAGGTTTGCAAACCCCATGCTACCACTAACTCATTACTGGATATCAGACAAGATAGCATATCTTTGGGCTTAATTTCTTCCTGTGCAAAATGGATATAATGTCAGTGCTTACCTCTCAGGCCATCAGTGAGAAAACGGAGACAAAGTGTGATAGAACAGTCATCACGGTTCATTGACAGTGTTCTCCATATGTAAATTGAATAAGTTGGTGGGAATAATCTGCCAGATTCCTTCGAATCCTGAAATACTATAAATTCTTGATCCTTAATTTTAGGTAAAGAGACTCCACTATTGAGCAGTTCTGGGTACTGTCCATGTAAATGGTGACCAACCTCAGGACAACTGTGATTGCCTGAAGTTGAAGAAATATAGTGTCCCTTGCATTCAAAGGTGACATCAGTGATGGTGATGGTGGCTCTGTATGGGGAAAAGAGGTGCCTAATGAACATACATTTCACCCTTACTCCATGTGGAAAAAACACCCTGAGCTGGCAGTGTGGCCGATTTGCTAGGGTCTTTTTTTTTTTTTTTTTTTTTTTAGACACAGTTTCGCTCTTGTTACCCAGGCTGGAGTGCAATGGTGTGATCTCGGCTCACCGCAACCTCCGCCTCCTGGGTTCAGGCAATTCTCCTGCCTCAGCCTCCTGAGTAGCTGGGATTACAGGCATGCGCCATGATGCCCAGCTAATTTTTTGCATTTTTAGTACAGATGGGGTTTCACCATGTTGACCAGGATGGTCTCTATCTCTTGACCTCATGATCCACCTGCCAGAGGTGCCCAACTGTGCCTGGCTTTTGTGAGGTGGTCAGCTGGCCCCACTGATTCAGGTTCACCTGATTTTTTCAATGTAAGAGAAGAGCTACAGTTTTGTGGTTGATCCTCCTTTTTTTAGATAAATGGTCATATTGCTCTTCTTGCTGAAAACAGTTGCTAGAGCAGACTTCTCAAGTGAGACTGACTTCAGCAATGGTATAAAATCAGGTGAGTGATGAACCGAGAAGAGATCATAGGAAAGATGAAGGTGAGGGCATTTGGCTTGGTCCTGGGACTGATGGCCATATTCATACTCTTTTATTCTTGTATACCAACCATTTAGTCCCGCTAAAATACCTTCCACAGGGGACAATCTCAAACTCTTCAGTCCTTGCAGAAGTGTGTGGCATGATTGCAACAGGCAGGAAAATGTTCCCGGATGAAAACATACCAGTGACGCCACTGAGAAATAGAACTTGCCAGCAATACTCGATCCGAAAGCACTACATAATGGAACCTCTGTCCAAAGACAAAGCCGAGTTCCCTTTGGCCTAAGTCACGGTCATCCACAAAGACTTAGATACATTTGAACGGCTCTTCAGGGCCATCTGCACTCCCCAAAACATCTACTATGTCCGTGTGGCTCAGAAGGCCCCAGCTGCTTTCACAGACGCTGTAAGAAAGCGACTGAGCTGCTTCGCAAACATCTTTGTGACTTCTAAGATGGAGTCTGTGATCTATACAGGGATCTCCAGGCTCTGAGCTGACCTGCACTGCCTGAAAGACCTGCTGGCCTCTGAGGTTCCCTCAAAGTACGCTGTCAACACCTGCAGGCAAGTATCCCCCTGAAAACCAACAGGGAGATAGTTCAGCATCTGAAGGGACTTAAAGGGAAAAATATCACCCCCGCGGTGCTGCCTTCTCCTTGTATTACCAGAAGGACCAAATACGTGCACTTGGAGCAGAGATAACAGTTTGTTTTCCTTCATGCTGTGGACTTGGATGAGAAAAATGCCTCCTCCCCACAATCTAACCATTTACTCTGCCTATGTGGCCCTTCAAGGGAATTGCTAATTTTGTGCTTCAAGACCAGAGGGCCATTGGCTTACTTAAGTGGTCAAAGGATACCTACTCTCCTGATGAGCATTTCTAGGTGACACTTGATAGGATTCCAGGTATGTGGAACTTGATTTCCAATCCACATAAAGTCTGCAGTGTGTGTGTGTGTGTGTGTGTGTGTGTGCTACACATTGAAAATGGTCTTGATGACATTATATATACCCACCTATGTTTCTAGACTTTGTGAATATCTTTTTTTTATTTTGAGACAGAGTTTCACTCTTGTTGCCCAGGCTGGAGTGCAATGGTGCAATCTCAGCTCGCTGAAACCTCCGCCTCCTGGGTTCAAGCGATTCTCCTGACTCTGTCTCCTGAGTAACTGGGATTACACGTATGTGTCATCATGCCTGGCTAATTTTGTATTTTTAGTAGAGACATGTAGGGTTTCTACATGTTGATCAGGCTGGTCTCAAACTCTTGACCTCAGGTGATCCACCTGCCTCAGTCTCCCAAAGCCCTGAGATTATAGGTGTGAGCCCTCACACCTGGCACATGAATATCCTTTGCATGTCTGTTTCAATGAATTAATGTTAAATAAATTATACTTTTGGCCAGGCACAGTGGCTCGTGCTTGTAATCCCAGCACTTTTGGGAGGCCAAGGTAGATGAATCACTTGAGGTCAGGAGTTTGAGACCAGCCTGGCCAACATGGTGAATCCCCATCTTTACGAAAAATACAAAAATCAGCCAGGTGTGGTGGCACTGGTCTATAATTCCGAGGGTGAGGCAGGAGGGTCATTCAAACTTGGGAGGTGGAGGCTACAGTGAGCCAAGACTGCGCCACTGCACTCCAGCCTGGGCAGTACAGCAAGACTTCGTCTCAAAAATAAATAAATAAATAAATAAAATTATACTTCTATGTGTCACTACATATACTGTTAGCTTATAGAACATGCTTATTAAATTTCTGCTGGCATCATATGTCATCTTTTTAAAAATTTTTTGTTGGTACATAGTAGTGGTATATATTTACAGGTTACATGAGATGCTTTGATACAGGCATGCAATATGTAATAGTCACTTCAAGGTAAATGGTGCCTCTATCATGTCAAACATTTATCCTTTGTGTTACAAACAATCCAATTACACTTTTAGTTGTTTTAAAATGTACAATTGGCCAGGTGCAGTGGCTCACACCTGTAATCCCAGCACTTTGGGAAGCTGAGGTGGGCGGATCACGAGGTCAGGAGTTCGAGACCATCCTGGCCAACATGGTGAAACCTCATCTCTACTAAAAACACAAAAATTAGCTGGGCATGGTGACGGGTGCCTGCAGTCCCAGCTACTTGGGAGGCTGAGGTAGGAGAATTGCTTGAACTGGGAGACAGGGGTTGCAGTGAGCTGAGATCACGACACTGCATTCCAGCCTGAGCAACAGAGTAAGGCTCAGTCACAGAAAAAAAAAAAAAAAATTGTTGATTTGCTGTTTCTTCAGTTTATCCTGGCTTTATGATTGCAAGCATTTTTTTTTTTAACCCCACTGGATTTTTTTTTTAAGTTCAGGTTTTATTGTGTTCCCCAGGCTGGTCTCAGAATTCCTGGGCTCAAACAATCCTCCCGCCTCAGCCTCCCTAGGTGCTGAAACTGCAGGTGCATACTCCATGCCCTGCTTTATCCCCACTGAATTTTATAAGCTGCTTCCAACTGCAAAGCGTGTGGCAGAAGAGAGGAACATGGCTAAATGCACGGTAGGACTATCTTGTTCCCTGGGACAGGAAATCAGTTCATTCCTGGAAGGGTATGTAAAGAGCCTGTTTGCCTGGCCTAGGAAAAGCCAGAATTCAGGGAGAGAAAGTGATTTGCTCAAGGTATGCAGCTTGCATTACAAAGGAGAGAACTTACCTTCTGACTCCAGCCCAGGACATTTTCTACTAAATTCTGTTGTCCCTCAGGATTTCCCTTCCCCCGTTGGGGGAGCATTTGGGTGGAACACATACCTAAATCTGTTAGGAGTTACCCTATGGCAGAGACTGTGAGATTTCCTACCAGTAACTAAATGGAAGGGTGGAACCTTAAACACAACGGGTCTGTGAGGGAATCCAAAACTTCCCCTCTGGAAAAAGCAGCCTCTTCTGGGACAAACTGGAGGGCAGTCTTAGGAAAACACCCAAGAAAAATTATCCTGAGGTCTATCTTGGAGTATCCTCCTGAAAAACCCAGGTACGCCCGGGGCAGTTATCTTTCTGAGCGGTTTCTTCTAACATTCCTAGAGCGGAAAGCAATTAACTCAAAGCCCTCTAGGATTCTGCAGGCTGGGATGAGCTGGTGTCAGGTAGCACCTGGTCTCCAGCAGTTTAAGAAATCCAGGCAGGCTCCCTGCAGACTTGCCTTCTCCAGTCTCAGGGCAGGCCTTTGGGGGCGGAACTGAAGGCAAACAGACCTTCCCACTTTCACATTCCAGCCTTTGTTTTTCCACTTAAAACACTTTGGTTAAACTGCGTTTACCTTAAACAGGCTTACTGGGTTCACTGCAGGACGCCTCTAGGCAATCTCATCCTCCTGGGAACCGAGGGAGGTAGGTAGAGGTCACCGTGTTGGGAATCTGGTGGACGGAGGAAACTGGTGGGGAGCTGGTCTTCCCGGGTTACCTCTATTCCATCGCCGACCGCAGTGTAAGGTCCAATAGGCTGGGACTCATGTGGGCTTCGTGGATGTTTTATGTTTTCAGAATGTAGCACAGTGCCAGGCATAAAAGTAAGCACATGAAAAAATGTTGAGTGAGTCATTTGGTCATGAGATTTCTGTTTCCAGGGGCTTTTTCCAAAGAAAGGCACGTTTGTATATTGTTTCATTATGTGATGAGCTTACTGGGCACTAGGATTTTCCATGTCTCGTTAAATCATTAGTATCCTTCTATATCTTAGTTATAACTTTTAACTTTTTAGGAAAGGACAGCTTTCACTTCTGATTTAATGGTTTACCTTGTTTCTCAGTTCCCTTCAGGCAAAGGAAAATGTTTCCAGAATTTGATATGGTACTTGGCACTGTCTGGCATGTAACTTTTTTTTTTTTTTTTTTGAGACAGAGTCTCACTCTGTCACCCAGGCTAGAGTACAGTGGTGGGATCTCAGCTCTCTGCAACCCACGCCTCCTGGGTTCAAGCAGTTTTCCTGCCTCAGCCTCCCAAGTAGCTGGGACTACAGGCATGTGCCACCATGCCCGGCTACATTTTGTATTTTTAGTGGAGACGGGGTTTCATGCTGTTGGCAGGGGCTAGTCTCTTAACTTCTGACTTCATGTGATCCACCTGCCTCGGCCTCCTAAAGTGCTGGGATTATAGGCATGAGCCACCACACCCAGCCTAAAATGTATTTTATTTAATTAGTTGCTTTTGAAGCATTCCTGTGAGGTATGAACCTCATTTGATAATAGGGAAAATTGAAAATGAAGTCGACAACTAGTAGAGTTGTACTGCCCTTCTGTGAAAATCCGTCTTCAGATATTAAAGACAGTTCTACTAAGTAAATTCAGGCTTAACTAAATTCAAAGCTACTGTTCTGTTTTCCTTATTTTCAAATATGGGCCTTTGAGAGTCGTTGCTTGTAAAGAGTCTTTCCACACCTGGTGGCAGATTGGCCCAGTGGAGACTAGTTACCTGTAGGCTATGGTTTTCCAGAAGACAGGGAGACTATAATCCCAGGACCTGGGAACCCAACTGCATAAAGGATCTGTTTCTTTGTACTCTCTCCTGATTGAACGGCATATTGCAATTATTGGGAGAAGGGAGGCTGCATGCTTTCATATACTTATTCTAAGTGATCAGAAGCTTGAGGTCTCACTTGTGGAAGTATTCCACCTACAGCAGTGATTTTTAGTGCCTGTAACTTCAAAATCCTATCAAGGACTTTCTGAGTGATAGAGGGCAGGAAGGAAAGAGTGGAACTCCAGAAAGGTGAAAACGACAAAGCCTGGGGCACTGAGATTGGGCTGCTGTTCTAGCTTCTCATAATATCCAACCTACAGAATACACTCAAAACTCAACTCCAGAATAGCTTTTTGCAACAGAAAAATCAAACTGCTAAAACCAATGAAGTTCTTAGGCTCAGGCTTCTCACCTAGACTCTGGCTTGGAAAACCTGGGGTGGTCAGATATCTTTTCATGTGCAAACGCAGGTGGAATATGCCTTTAAGGCCTGGACTCCGCCTAGTAACTGAGCTGCTATTTAACTTTCCTAAGCCTTACATTACCTCAAATTTATTTAACTGGCCGAGCTTGAAAAGACCAGGTTTCAGCCAGGCACGGTGTGGCTTATGCCTGTAATCCCAGCACTTTGTGAGGTTGAGGCAGGTGGATCACCTGAGGTCAGGAGTTCGAAAGCAGCCTGGCCAACATGGTGAAACCCTGTCTCTACTAAAATATATTATATATATATATACATATATATGCACACACACACACAAAAAGAATTAGCCAGGCACAGTGGTGGATATCTGTAATCCCAGCTACTCAAGAGGCTGAGGTAGGAGAATGGCTTGAACTTGGGGGGCGGAGGTTGCAGTGAGCCGAGATCATGCCATTGCGCTCCAGCCTGGGTGACAGAGTGAGACTCCATCTCAAAATAAAAATTAAAAAAATACAAATACAAAAATTAGCCAGGTGTAGTGGTGCGTGCCTGTAATCCCAGCTACTCATGAGGCTGAGGCAAGACAATTGCTTAAACCTGGGAGGTTTCAGTGGGCTGAGATGGCGCCATTACACTCCAGACTGGGCAACAGGAGTGAAACTCCATCTCAAAAAAAAAAAACCAGACCAGCTTTCTCTTGCATTTCCCTATTACCTTTTTTTCCAGGTATATTTTTGTTAAACCATCACAGCCCACTTCATTACCCTCTCATAGCCTCTTCCCCACGGCTTTCCATCCAGGTCTAGAATTAGCTCTGACTTCTCTACCAGCCCTGAGCTGAGCATGTTGGGTGCCTTACCTCCAGAATCCTCCCAGCATGGCCCACAGATTGCTGTTGTCTTGACTTGAGACTTGAAAACCCAGGACTAATGTGGTCTGACTAGGAAGGAAGCCACAGTTGGGAGTTGGAGGCTCTGAGTAACTGCAGAGTCCGTCAGCCGTGAGATCTGAGGGTGTTGTTTTCTCAAATTCACTCTAAGAGGAAGCTGTGATTATAAATCAAATGACTTATTCAAGAGCTCCAAGCCTGTCATGAGTGGCCTTGGTCCATGGAGACTTTCTGACACAGAATCCAGGGTTTTGGTGTTTTTTTTTTTGAGACTGAGTCTCGCTCTGTCGTCCGGGCTGGAGTGCAGTGGCACGATCTCAGCTCACTGCAACCTTTGCCTACCAGGTCCGAGCAATTATTGCATCTCCACCTCTTGAGCAGCTGGAATTACAGGCCACCCAGCTGATTTTTTTATTTTTCATAGAGACGGGGTTTCACCATGGTGTCCAGGCCGATCTCAAACTCCTGACCTCAGGTGATCCACCCTCCTCAGCCTCCCAAAGTGTTGGGATTACAAGCTGACCCACCGAACCTGGCCTCCGGGGCTCTTTTTAATTGTACTATTTAAGGCCTGTTGCTCAAAGCCTGTGGTTATAACCCATGCTTAAAAAGGAATAGCGATGAGGATAAAACGGCACTGAACTTGTCAATAGAAAACACATAAATGAGAAAGGGGAGGCAGAGAGGAGGACAGGAAAACAGTTGTCTTTTTGAAAAAGGACAAAATAATATAAAAATTAGCTGGGCATGGTGGCGCATGCCTGTAATCCCAGCTACTTGGAAGGCTGAGGCAGGAGAATCACTTGAACCCAGGAGGTGAAGATTGCGGTGAGCCCAGATCGCTCCATTGCACTCCACTGGGGCAGCAAAAGCAAAACGCTGTCTCAAAAAAAACAAAAGAAAAGAAAAATGACAAAATGTTTTGCCCTTTGGATTAAAAATCAATTTAATATAAGCTGTTCTTCCTCTGAGGCCTCATCAGGCTTTCAAAGATGCTGAGAAGGTTTCCATTGGCCCCCTGGTTTCTAATTTGGGCACACAGGTGATGTCATGGTAAAATGAATATGTGAAAAGCGCTTTGGGCGTCATATGGCCCATGAATAATTAAGGTGAGGATGATGGGATTCTTGACTGTAGAAAGGAACCCCATTTCTTCCGCTTCTCATTCTACAATCACTTATTGAGACTATACTCTAAGTGCAGTATCTTAACGCAATAAAAATGAGTTTATGTCCTGGAGTGAGAATTTATAAGAGTATGTGTTATGGAGAAATAAGCGATTAGAGATTGAACATAATCTACGTGTGGTCAGTTACCGAGCAACCAAACTAGAAGTCTTCGCTGGTTCCCAGTTTGTTCAGAACTCTATTTATCCCACCTGATAAGTGCCTCCAACTTAGAATTGGAGAGTATTAATTTTGATGTAAAGTTCAAGCTGGGATAGACAATCTCTATTCTTTTTGGTCACTTTCTGATTACTATCTCCTCCCATTATGTCACATAAATGCAAGCACCTAGAGCCCAGAATTGAGGAGAGCGATTAGTGGTAGATTGCACAAGGGCATCAGGAAAGCCGGAGGGTCAGGAAGACCAGCATGTCCCACGTGCCTACCAAGAGAAAACGCATCAGCTGGCACTGGGTTGAAGTAAAAGGAAATAGGTTCAGGCTGGGTGTGGTGGCTCACGCTTGTAATCCGAGCACTTTGGAAGCCAAGGCGGGCCGATCACCTGAGGTCAGGAGTTCAAGACCAGCTTGACCAACAAGGTGAAACCCCGTTTTTAAAAGAAAAAATAAAGAAAAATAAAAATAAAATGAAAAGGAAATAGGTTCATATTAATTCTGATTTTTTTTTTTTTTTTGAGACAAAGTCTTGCTCTTGTTACCCAGGCTGGAGTGCAATGACGCCATCTCGGCTCACCAAAACCTCCACCTCTCAGGTTCAAGCGATTCTCCTGCCTCACCTTCCCAAGTATCTGGGATTACAGGCATGCACCACCACGCCCAGCTAGTTTTGTATTTTTAGTAGAGATGGGGTTTCTCCATGTTGGTCAGGCTGGTCTGAAACTCCTGACATTCGGTGATCTACCCACCTCAGCCTCCTAAAGAGCTGGGATTACAGGCACAAACCACCATGCCCGGCTCATGTTAATTCTTATTTAAATGTCTAGGATTGTCAACAATACTATTTTACATGATGGTAAATGCTCCAGAGCTCAAAATCAAGGGACTCTCATGCATTTCAGGTAAGGATAAGTAAAGATGCCTGAACTTTGCTTGTACCTTCAGCAGAGCACAGAATGCAAGTGTTCATTACCCTGTAACTAAATCCAGTGAGCTGGAAATTCAAAGAGCAAGCAAATGATTCAAGATGCTTTTATGCCTGCAGTGTCTGGAGGGATAGAACTAGGCCAAGAATGAGGTGACAGTCAAGGAAAGAAAGATCTGACGTAATTGTCTAGATAAATTAGGAGAAAATATGGTAAAAATTACTTAACTAGTTTAGATAAGCATAGTTCAGCACTGGCATTATCATTTGATCATTCCTGTAGTCAATTTCATTTGATATGGATAGAGTCTAAAGAGACATTAAAAGTTAACTAAAAAATTAGAGAAATTTAAGTCATTTCAGAAAAAAATTGATTTTGTATGCCTACTGTATTGAAGAAGTGATTTTGTTCGAAAGAATTCTGGATAGATGCATGAAAGATAGTTAAGAAAATATTGATTCAATTCTATTTTGGGGGCTCTGTGGGCATGAATGGGTGTACCTGAGTCATGCTGTAGAATCTGATTCCAGAAACAACTGAAAACTGACTCACGGGGTGCTAGAGAATTTTTCCTGGGTCCTTTCTCGTCGTCATTTCCTGTATTCCTGATGCTGTGTAATGGAGTTGGCCGCCATCTCAATGCATGCACTTTTAGCAGGGGTGGCAGAAAAACCAACAAGAATAACTCCAATCTTATGTTCTAAACTAATGATTGTGAAGGTAGTGCCTGAGACACACCAAGAAGCACTAGGGAAAATGTTATGGTGTGATATTAAGTGCAAAATGCAGGAGGAAGCTTGCATCTCCCTGCCTGCTTCTGTTTTTTTTTTTTTTGTTGTTTTGTTTTGTTTTTATTAGAGATGGGGCCTTGCTGTGTTGTCTAGCTAGTCTCGAACTCCTGGCCTCAAGAGCCCCTCTGGTCTTCCAAAAGTGCTGAGATTACAGGCATGAGCCACTGCACCCAGTCTCACCTGTGTTCTTGATCAAGGAAAAATATGTACATCCTATGGGCATGAGGTAGAAACACTATCAGTACAGGATGTGGAAACACTGTATCAATTATCTGTAATATCATGTTGTCTTTGAGATTAAGAAAATGAGCTGGGTGCGGTGGCTTACAGCTGTCATCCTAAACTTTGGGAGGATGAGGTGGGAAGATCACTTGAGGAGATCAAGACCAGCCTGGGCAACATAGCAAGATCCCCATCTCTACAAAAGAGTAAATTCTTTAATTAATATAATTTAATAAAAATTCAAAGACATATTGGAAAAATTAGGTATGTTGACTGTACCACATTCATAGATACAAATATGTGTCTCTCACAAATCAGTATTACCTGGAATTTCTCACTAATGTGATCAGAGAAACAGGGAAATGAAAACTTGAGCATTTAATCAATAAATATTTGATTGATGGCCAGGCGCTGTGGCTCATGCCTGTAATCCCAGCACTTTGGGAGGCCAAGGATGGTGCATCACTTGATATCAGGAGTTCGAGACCAGCCTGGCCAAAAATGGTGACGCCCCATCTCTACTAAAAATACAAAAATTAGCTGGGCATGGTGGCAGGTGTCTGTAATCCCAGTTACTCAGGAGGCTGAGGCAGGAGAATCACTTGAACCTGGGAGGTAGGGGTTGCATCGAGCTGAGATCCTGCCATTGCACTCCAGGCTGGGCGACCGGAACAAAACTGTCTAGATAAGTAAGTAAATAATTAAATACATAAATAGTTGATTGTCTATCACATACAGACAATGCTAGGAGCTAGAAATATGAGGAATACGTGAGCTTGGAGCCAATGGGACATGCATTCACTCCGGGTGCGGCTGACTACCACATCATACAAACCATCACTGCATCACTGCTGTTTGAGATGTGTAATCTGATTGGCATGGGCTCACAGAGGATAGAGAAGGGAAGAGGAAGAATATTTCAAAGGAGAGGTGGTAATTGTGTCATTTGCTAGAAGTATGAGTGTGGGGTGAGGGGTATGTGTGTTTGTGTGTGTGTATGCATATGTGTGTATGCATGTGCATGTTCATGAGCACGTGTCTGCATGCACGTATGTGTGTATCCGTGTGTATGTGCGCATGTGTTTATGCGTGTGTACACATATGTATGTGTGCATGTGTGTGCCTAACGAACATGGTAAAACCTGTCTCTACTAAAAATACAAAACAAAAATTAGCTGGGTATGGTAGTGGGCACCTCCCAGTTACTTGGGAAGCTGAGGCAGGAGAATTGCTTGAACACTGGAGGCGGAGGTTGCAGTTAGCCGAGATGGCACCACTGCATTCTAGCCTGGGAGACACAGTGAGGCTCCATCTCAAAAAATAAAAATACTGAGATGCCCTTCTCTCCTTTCTCTAAGCATTAGGGTTCTCCGTCTGCATCCTATGTGACCAGGGCAAAATAAACTTGAAATTCACTCATATTGGCCTCTATGCAATTTTGGGTGATGATGGGCTGTTGGTTATTTTGGTGCTTTAAAAAAGAAGTTAGCCTTTATTCATCAGAGCGCCACAGTCACTTTGTGCAGTAAGTTAGGTGGTGAGGTAAGCTTGCTAATTAATTAATGTGCATGCCTTTTTTTTTCTTTCATTTTTTCTCAAGTTCAAAGTTCCACAAACAATGTGCCTTTTAAAAGACTTTACCCAGCTGTGATAAAATCAAGCCCTGGAAAGACTTTGGCCCGATAGCCAGTCAGTTGCCATGCCCATAGCATACGCAGCCAATTGGGAGTACGAAGTGTGACAGTGGAAAAAGACAGGGTTAGGCAATTTTTTAAAACACTACATATTTATTGACAGAATCTCTCTCCAGGCAGTATTCACAGGCTTCAGACTGAAGCTCTTAGCTTGGCAGTGCAGTTTAAGCAAACAAACTCAGGCTGTTGAACACAATGATTAACAGGAAGCAGGGGAGGGGACACAGTCACTAGACTTTGGCCGGGAGAAGAGGCTGGGTTAAGGTCTGAGAGCTGATGACTTGCAGAATGGTCACCTCACCCACTGTGACTTCACCGTGGGGACAGGTGGACCTCCAGGAATCAGACTCTCCCTGAGGCCATTTGTTTTTGTGTAGACACAGGTTGCAGCTTAGCAGGTGAACAGGCCAGCCAAATGCAGAGGAGCCACTTCAGAAATGTGTCAAAGGAAAGTGAAAATGCAACCTAGCGGTAAACGAAGAGGGGAGGAAGAAAGAAAAGGGACAAAAAGCGTGAACTGAAGGGACCGGGAACAGCCAGACCAGAGCTTCAGCCATCAAGAGGTTGATTTTGGAACCTGGAGAACATGTAAGTTCAATATATCGACACTCTGATCCTATCTCAAGAGAGAAACATTTTACTCACTTCCTGGTTGTGAATGATGGGCTCTTGGAAGCACTGTCTTTTTAGCATGTCTCTTATTTCTGCCCTGATTTTTGTACTTGTTTACAATACTGAGTTATGGGAGACTAAACATTTTCTGAGGGCAGCTCTGACCAATGCTTCACTGTTAGCAGAAGTCTGTCATCAGATTTTTGAGGGGAAAGTTTTTTACCCAACAGAAAATGCATTAAAAACTATCCTTAATGAAGCTACCTGCTATGAATATATGGTTCGAAGCCACTATGTCACAGAAACACTCTCTGAAGAAGAGGCTGGGTTCCCTTTGGCTTACACAGTGACCATTCACAAAGACTTTGGCACTTTTGAGAGGCTCTTCAGGGCGATTTATATGCCCCAGAACGTCTACTGTGTACACCTGGATCAGAAGGCGACGGCTGCCTTTAAAGAAGCCGTGAAACAGTTACTCAGCTGCTTCCCAAATGCTTTTCTGGCTTCCAAGATGGAGCAGGTCGTCTATGGGGGTATCTCCAGGCTCCGGGCTGATCTGCACTGCCTGGAAGACCTTGTGGCTTCTGAGGTTCCCTGGAAGTACGTCATCAACACCTGCGGGCAAGACTTTCCCCTGAAAACCAACAGGGAAATAGTTCAGTATCTGAAGGGATTTAAAGGGAAAAATATCACTCCTGGGGTCCTGCCTCCTGAGCATGCAATTGGACGGACTAAGTACGTCCACCAAGAACTGTTAGACCACAAACATTCCTATGTCATTAAAACCACAAAATTAAAAACTCCTCCTCCTCACGACATGGTCATTTACTTTGGCACAGCCTACGTGGCTCTCACAAGGGACTTTGCTAACTTTGTTCTCCAAGACCAGCTCGCACTTGACTTACTCTCCTGGTCCAAGGACACCTACAGCCCCGACGAACATTTCTGGGTGACGCTTAACAGGATTCCCGGTATGTACATCTCTTAGCTTTTATTTTTACCAATAGACACTGCGGGTCAATACTGAATAAGTTGCTTTGAAAAGAGTGGAAAAAATATTAACAAACTTCTTTACAGTTTTAAATGTTAAATTTTTAAAAAAATCTTTCCTCTGTAAAATGGTAAAATGGAGATGTGTTCTATCACCCACTCTTGTGAACAGCTCTGTTCACAGGACAAAAAAATGGAAGGAACACTGGCCATATAAATAAAAATGTGGCCACATGGTGACTCAAGCCTGTAATCCCAGCACTTTTGGAGGCCGAGGCAGGTGGATCACTTGGTCAGGAATTGGAGACTAGCCTGGCCAACATGGTGAAACCCCATCTCTACTAAAAATAAAAAAAAAAAAAGAAAAAGAAAATAGCCAGGTGTGGTGGTGCATGCCTGTAATCTCAGCTACTGGGAAGGCTGAGGCAAGAGAATTACTTGAACCTGAGAGGCGGAGGTTGCAGTGAGTCGAGATCATGCCACTGCACTCCAGCCTGGGTGACAGAGCAAGACTCCATCTCAAAAATAAAAATAAAATAAATAAGTAAAAATGTAAACCTTATTCACCTTTCAGCGTAATGCATTTAAAATCAGGTATAAGTATTATAAATAAAATATGAATGACAATTTGAACATTTCAATAATATTGTTGTCCCTGTTGAAGCTCCTTCCTTTCAAAATGGAAGCAACATACAATTTTTGAATTTTTTATTTGCAGTTTCTTTTCTGCTCTTGAATCAAAAATTTAGAGCATGGCCAGGCATGGTGGCTCATGTCTGTAATCCCAGGACTTTGGAAGGCTGAGATAGGAGGATCTCTTGAGACCAGGAGTTTGAGACCAATCTGGACAACATCGTGAGACCTTTTAAAAAAAACCTTAGAGTACCTTAAATATTTCTAGACCAGGGCCTCTATTTAGTAGATGAGGAAACTTCAGTATGATTACATGACGTGCTCGAGTCCCGCAGCTAGCAAGTAAGCACACGCACCAATTACAAACTGCATCTCCTAAGCCTGATGTTCTTTTTAGGATGACCTTCAGTTAGGGCTCAGTTGTTACTAAATCAACTCCATCTCTCCTTCGGTCCAAGTTCCAAATGATTTTTGAATAATCTCAAGTTGTTTATAGTGAACCAATTTACTTCTGCTAGTTCAATTTAAAACAAGAATTCGTATTTGCAGTTCAAAGGAAAAAGTAACTGGAACCCGTATGAAGATCACAGTCATGGTTTCTTTGGATTGGTGGTTCAACCCTGGATACATATTATGATCATCTGGGGCTTCTAAAAATAACCTAAGCCAGGGCTCATTTCCCTCCTTGGGGCCAGACTAATGGTATTTGTACAGCTTCTAAATGATTCCCCCGTATGGCAAGAGGTGTAAACCATTGTAGGTGCTTGTTTTAGATGCTGATATACAAAGATTCATAGGCTTAGAATTCTCTTTAAATCTGTGATTTTCTCAGAGCCAGAAGGGGTAATGTAGTGATCAAAAGAAATTGGGGCTTAAAAAAATCGGGCGGGGGAGGCACGGAGCTGTTTAAATAGAACAACAGTGTCCACAGTAAGGGAAGTGAAAGCTCCACTTCCCTCCCATGTGCTTGGAGTAAGATGTAGACTCTTTAGGTGTGGCCACCCTGCTGTACGAGGGGACATTGACAGAGCAGTTCTGAAGAGAGCAGCTAGGGAAGTAAAAAGGCCAGTCCCCACTTTTTTTTTCTTTAAGAGAGAATACCAAGACAAACAAAAAGGATTGATTTGAAAAGACTTGAAGATGGATCAGTGTCTTCACCTAATTAAAAGATTTGCTCAGGAAAGAGAAAGTAGACCAATTCGGTCATTTTAGAAGTAGAAACTAGGGCCAGCAGATGGGAATTGAGAACACATGGAGCTGAGAATAGAATGAGCAGCTTCCTCAATGGTGAGCAAAGTCAAGGGAAGCAGGGCTGGGGAAGTCCTGCAGAGGTAACCTCCAGGATTGGACAGGATGGCCTCAGAGTCCCTTGCCACTCTCAGGGTCTGTGATCCTAATCGGCTTACTGAACTGAAACTTAAGGGAAACACCCTGACATCTCCACTCCATCTATCTATTGGTGCTGGATTTATACACCCTGTGTTAGCAGTAACATATTGGCAAAGCAATAGAACACAAATGCACCCATTCACGTCTTTCAGAAACTAACAAAAGTTCACCCCTGAAATCATTTTTGTGTTATGTGTGTGGATGATCACTGCCAGAGGACCCCGACTGACCCTGCCAATTCTTTTCTTTTCTTTTTGAAACTTATCTTTATTTTTTACCCTTTTTTTTTTAAAAAAAAAAATCTCACTCTGTCATTCAGGCTAGAGTGCAGTGGCACAATCATGGCTCATGGGCTCAGCCTCCCAAAGTGCTGGGATTATAGGCATGAGCCACAGCACCTGGCACATGCTGGTCTCAACCTTCCAGGCTCAAAGCTTCCAAGAGGCTGGACTATAGGTGTGTGCCCATGCCTGGCTAATTATAACTTTTGTAGAGACGGGGTCTTACTGTGTTGCCAGGGCTGGCTGGTCTTGAACTCCTGGGCCCAAGCAATCCTACTGACTCAGCCTCATGAGCCACCACATCCAGCAAGGCCTGCCACTCTTTCCTGACCGGAGACAGGGCTAAATGTAGGAGGTAAGGGAATTAGAAATGTAAGGGTTGTCTCGTGTAATTATTACTTTTGTTATGTGGAGATCTGAGCCATTTTCCTTTGTAAGCGTCCTTCTGGTTGATTGTGTATGTGGTTTTTTTTTTTTTTGAGACAGAGTTTCACTCTTGTTACCCACGCTGGAGTGCAAATGTGTATGTGGTTTTTTTTTTTTTTTTGAGACGGAGTTTCACTCCACGCTGGAGTGCAATGGTGCGATCTTGGCTCACCGCAACCTCTGCCTCCTGGGTTCAAGCAATTCTCCTGCCTCAGCCTCCTGAGTAGCTGGGATTATAGGCACGCGCCACCGTGCCCAGCTAATTTTTTGTATTTTTGGTAGAGACAGGGTTTCACCATGTTGACCAGGATGGTCTCGATCTCTTGACCTCATGATCCACCCGCCTCATCCTCCCAAAGTGCTGGGATTACAGGCGTGAGCCAGTGTGCCTGGCCAACTCGATTTTTTTTTTTTGGCAGGGAATGAGAGGGACATTTTGAGATTGTTCCAATTGATTGTAGTGATTGAGAGTTTATGATTAGGATTCTCTAAAGTTAAGAAGTCAAGCTGAGCATGGTGGCTCCCACCTGTAATCCCAGCACTTTGGGAGGCAGAGGTGAGGGGATCACCTGAAGTCAGGAGTTCAAAACTAGCCTGGCCAACATGGTGAAACCTGTCTCTACTAAAAATACAAAAATTAGCCAGGCATAATGGCGGGTGCCTGTAATCCCAGCTACTCGGGACACTGAGGCAGGAGAATTGCTTGAACTGGGAGGCAGAGGTTGTGGTGAGTTGAGATCACACCACTATACTCCTGCCTGGATGACAGAGCAAGACTCTATCTCAAAAAAAGAAAAAAAAAACGGAATGTATTTTATTTAACTGAATTTGAAATATCACTTCTGCATGTGGCCCGTGGCTACAACCACAGGCAGGGGAGGTGGGCCATGCGTTCTCATTGCTGACGCAGTGGTCAGGAGATGCCCTAGCAGTGCTGAGATGTTGGCTGGACTCATGTCTGAGTCTCCACCACTGCTGGTTTTGCTTTGCCTGCCCCTTTTACCTTATCTGAAATTCTTCACTGTGCTTCAGGGCTTCCTCTGGCTTATGGGCTCCTCCACCCTGTGGCTTCTACTTCCTGTGTCTTTTGGTATCTGCCAGATTCCATGCTGCTCTCCCTCTCTCTCTTTTTTTTTTTTTTTTTTTTTCCAGATAGAGTCTCACTCTGTTACCCAGGTTGGAGTACAGGGAGGTTGGCTCACTACAACCTCCACCTCCCGGGTTCAAGTGATCCTCCTGCCTCAGCCTCCCAAGTAGCTGGAATGACAGGTGCGTGCCATCCTGCCTGGCTAATTTTTGTGTTTTTAGTAGAGATGGGGTTTCACCTTGTTGGCCAGGCTGGTCTTGAACTCCTGACCTCAGGTGATCTGCTTGCCTCAGTCTCCCAAAGCGCTGAGATTATAGGTGTGAGCCACCACACTGGCCCATGCTTCTCTCTTGACAGTAAGTGCCCTCTGTGTCCCATTGAGATATTCCCAGAGAGTCCTGCCTCGGGTCATGCAGCCATTGTATATATATACAATGAAGATCCCTGTTCTCAATCCACTCCACTTCTCAGGCTGCTGCTGACCTGTTTGCTAATAGCTGCCCTTTATGTAGCCCCAAGTTGTCCAATCAGCGGTGACCAGGATGGCAGGGTCATGTCGTTCAAAAAAGCAAAGCCTGGGCAATACGGTGAGACCTTGTCTCTACAAAAAATCACAAAAGTAGCTAAGCATGGTGGCATGCACCTGTAGTCTCAGCTACTGGAGAGGCTGAAGCAGGAGGATCGCTTGATCCCAGGAGGTCGAGGGTGCAGCAAGCTGCGATAGCACCACTACACTCAGCCAAGCAACAGAGTGAGACGCCGTCTCATAAATGAATAAATAAGCAAAACAAAACATGGGGCTGGGCATGGTGGCTCATGCCTATAACCTCAGCACTTTAGGAAGCCGAGGCAGGCAGATCACCTGAGGTCAGGAGTTCAAGACCAACCTGGCCAACATTGTGACACTCCATCTCTACTAAAAATGCAAAAATTAACCAGGTGTGATGGTGCACACCTGTAATCCCAGCTATTCAGGAGGCTGAGGCAGGAGAATTGCTTGAACCTGGGAGACAGAGGTTGCAATGAGTCGAGGTCATGCCACTGCACTCCAGCCTGGGCAACAGAGCAAGACTCTGTCTCAAAAACAAAAACAAAAACATGGTCCATTCCCTATACATAAGAGGTCCCTTAAGAAGCAGCATTTCCTCTAAAGGCCTCTCATAGG